GTGAAAGGAAATTCAAAGTAAGTCACAGTTTGACAAATTATTGTTATTATTGACAAGGGCTATCCACCTGTAACTATCTGTTAATGACAAAAAACGTCATTCCCGCTGTGACTTTTCATCAAAAAATTGTAGAAGAGAACTTTTTTGGCATGAAAAATTTTCGTAATTTCAAGCAAGGATCGTAATTTTTCTTTTTGGATGCTTAAGTGTTTCAATATGCTACCAATTAAACATGGAACAATTTCAAAATAATGCTTAATAACAAAGCTGAAATTCGCTTTTCAACTGTTAATATCTTCTAGAAATTTTCGAAAAAAAAAATTTTCAATATTTTTCTCGTACTCCCCAAGTGAGCCTCTATGAGCCCTTAAAAGGAATGACGGAAATTTTGAATCACCCTGTAGTACTGTTACGAAAATGTTATATGCAACGCTGTTGTTTCCGCAAACAAGAAAAGGCCGTATTATTGAGCCGAGGTTAACGACCGGAAAAATTATCTTGCAAGTTCGTTAGGCCCTACGTCATCAAATCAGTGCTGGCCAACAATCGGTACTCAATTAGAAAATTAGGCAGTCAAGGTGCCATCAAATGTTCTAAGAATCAGTTACGTCACTGGCCGTAGAATTGAACTCCCCAGGATTTCCAAAATTTAGTTGAACTAAACACCTGTAAGTATGAGTTCAAATAGTAATCATTCTGTTCTGCAGTGTTAGATATGCGGATTTAATATGACCCATCGTAAATACGTGCTTATTGCAGTATTTCCATCGTGTCATGAGATAATTTGTCTATTGATAATAACCCATCGCAAATACGTGCTTATTGCAGTATTTCTATCGTGTCATTGAGATGAATTGTGTATTGTGAATGACCCATCGTAACTACGTGCTTTCTGAAGTATTTCTATCGTGTCATTGATCATAAATACGTATTTGTTGCAATATTTCCGTCATTCAAAATCTTGTCATAATTGACTTCATTTGTGTTTTAGGTTAAAACTCTGAAGTACTTGAGTCCTTTTTATTTAACAGCTGGCAATTCGGATAGTAATCCTAATGATCGAGCAATAATGCAGCCCGATGACAAATGAATTCTAATGATCAGTAAACATGTGTATTGACATTATTTGATGTTGATTTGTTTATTTTGACGAATTTTTTGTTTTGTAACAAAATATATATTTTACTTAAAGTGTATTTTGTTACGTCTACCTATTGGTTAATTCACTCATTCCCAGAGCGAAATGCTGTCAGTTTGGTCGTGTTAGATTCAAATCAAATCAAATCAAAATATGCTTTATTGCCACGAAAAAATTCACAAATTTTATGCACAAAGCGAGTAAAAAAAACCAAATACTACAACATAAAGTACGTACAGTATAGTCAACAATGGTAAGAAATTAAAAAATATAATAAAACAGTACAAAATATATCACGTACAATAGTTATGGACAGAAGATACAAACACTGAGGTTATCAGAATCAGTTAATCACCTATCGTTACAAGCGGTGCAGAATAACCACACAATTTAAAAGTGGATAACATGGGTGAATTGAATCAAGTAGCACCCCAAACCATAACAAGAAGCAACTGTTGACCTTGTTCATGTTATTGCAAGCGGATCGTGATCATACCCATTTGATAGTTATAACAATTGACGTTAGTGTCGTCCGAGATATTGAAATTTTGCTCGCTGAACTTGAACCTAATACGATTCCGCTCCGCTTGCAACTTGCGGTCCCGTTGATAAACAATAAAAATAAACATGAGCTTACAAACTGATGACCCCGAAGTAAAAAATTGTAACTACCATACAAATCCAATTAACGCCCCGGTAAATACCGCATGTGATGTCCGACGTATTTAGAGATTTAAGATGGGATGGAAGATGATCGTATAATTTCTTGCCATTGTAAATAATTGCGTTTTTAATGAGTTACTTATGTTGTGGCCGTTTTGGAAAAGTTACTAGATGTTTGCGTATCAAGCAGACAGTCTCCAAGAGAAACAAAGCGGGAAGTGTAGGAATTGTAAGGTTTTCAAAGTAGTGCTTGCAATGAGCTCCACCCTTCAGGCCAAACAAGTAGCAAATTGCTCTTTTCTGAAGTTTAAATATAGTTTGAAATTGCGGGGTGTTACAGCAGCCCCAAAAGGGTAGGCCAAAGCGGATCTGAGACTCAAATAGAGAGAAGTAAGCGAGTCTGGCGGAGAACACATTCAGTTCTCTAGAAACTGATCAAATTGTTTCTTTGCTAGGAAGTCAACACGAGTAGACCACTTTAGGTTAGCGTTAATGTTCAAACCCAGAAATTTTACTGACTCAACGGAATTTAATATTGCTGTTATGAAGGAGCAAGGGTTGTAAAGCTCGTCTATAAGATAGGGTACCGTTTTATTGACGTTAAAACCCAGAAAACTAGAGTCAGACCAAGCCTTGATCATAACGAGATAGCTAGGAACCCTAGAGTGGAGGAACACAGCATCAGAATCACTCCATGTTACGCTTGTGTCGTTCGCAAAGAGAGTAATTTTGCCTTTAATTTTCATGTAGGTAATGTCATTGATGTATAGCAGGAAAAGAATAGGTCCAAGTATAGAACCGTGTGGGACTCTATTGGGAATCAATTTACAGTCAGAGACGGACTCGTTAGCTCTAACAAACTGTTGCCAGTTTTGAAGATAGGACTTAAACCAGTTGAAAGAAATTCTACGTACTCCATAAAAATCAAGCTTCTCATCAATCAATCAATGCTTTTGCATAGTCACACAAGATTTTAGCAGTGAGGCGATGGAGGCGTAGGTTCCACAATCCTCACGATAGCAGCAGTACGTCCTAAACTTTCGATGCTCTTTAAAAAATATAAATCTACCAGTGAGTCCTTGGATATTGAGGGTATAATCATTGAATCGGTTGACGAAGTAGCAGTTGGTCCAAAGTCCATTTCGGCTAATGAAACAATTGGCACTTTTGTGGACAAGGACGGCAAAGGCCACATCGGTACAAGAAAAGCAAAGCGCCAATGTGGCTACAAACTTCACTGTTGCCTGCCATACAAGTGCAGTGTCCATTTGCAACAGTACCATCTTTGGTGATAATACACCAAGCCCTAAGAGCTTTAGCGTTTGGTTTTTGTGAATGTTTCACCTGGAAAAATAAAAAACAAAGTGAAATTTGTCAGTAAACAAACCGATGAATAAGAGTTAAAAAGTCGAAAACGTGAGACCGAACCTTTTAATTGCCATATACGCATTTAAAATATACATTTTTTTAAGTCCTTTATTTATTTCTTATAAAAATATTACCTTTTCAACCATGACCAGCACCAAGGGTTTTGTAAGCTTTCATTTGCTCATGTGTATAAAAACTATGCGTTAACACAACAGGGAAATATGTCTGGGTATGTGACTGGTGGAATG